GTTCTCTGAGAACTACGCCATTCTTGAATGGTTATTTGGCTTGATGAAGCCATCTGTTTGGGAGATTTATCAATTTTATAGCTCTGTTTCGAAGTTATGGAATGCATTATCAGAGATGTATTCTCAATCAAGATGGGGAGTTCATGTTTATGAGCTTTCTCAGGAACTCTTATATGCTCGACAGGGAGATATGGCCATTCAGAATTATTATGGCTATTTGGCTCAGCGCTGGCTTGAGTATGAGGCTCTACTTCCTCTTATTACTATTCTGAGGATAAAGCCCGAGGGAACTACATTCTTGCATACTCAGGAGTAAGAGGATAGGATTCACAAGTTCCTTATAGGGCTTCGTGATGAGTTTGAGGAGCCTCATTCCCAAATTTTGTCGATGTTGAGGCTTCATTCTCTTTATGAGGTATATGCAATGATTGAGCAACATGAGCGTCATGTCCATATTGTATCACTTCCAGTTGCAGCCTTGACTCCTCTGACCGACCAGATGACCATTGCAGCTGCTGCAACATCTCGTTCAGGATCCTCAATCAGTGGTGGACAGCACTCGGACTAACGTCATCAGGGTGCCCCAGATCAGCATAGACATGGGGATTCTTGTCAGTGTGATTATTGTGGCCGGCCAGGATATCTCAGGGCTGCTTGTTGGAAGCTTCATCTGGAGCTTAAGTCACCTCCTCGTAGCCGTACTGCTGCTATTGCTGAGGTACCACTACCTACTGCCACTGCTCCTCCTTAGCAGAGTGATATGGATGTTATCATTTCTCGATTAGATATACGTATGTCTGCCCTGACTTCTCAAGGTCCGACTACTGCTACTATCACCACTACAGGTATGTCTCGTGTTTTTTATGCTTGCGTCAGTCCATCTCCCCTTTGGATGCTGGACTCGGGTGCGAATGGTCATATGACAGGTGAGGCCCATCACTTTACCACTTTTGATGAGCAGTTATATACATAGGTTCAGCTAGTAGATGGGACACATGCCCCTATTGTTAATAAGGTTACAGTTTGCCTCCCAGATGGATTTATATTACATTCGATTTTTCATGTGTTAAAGCTGGCCATGAATCCATTATCTATACATCAGTTAGTCAGAGATTTTCACTGTGCGGTTATGTTCTTATCTAATTCATGTTATTTGCACGACCTAAATACCAAGAGGATTATTATCAGGAGACATGAGAGAGAAAGACTATATTATCTAGGCGATCCACCTCTAGTTTCACTAGTTCCTTCACCTCCATCGCATACACCTACCCCTACTTTTTCTTTATCTGTTCCTAGCTTGCATGCTAGTATTTTACCTAGTACTTGTCATTATGATTTTTCATCACAAACTATTCAGTTGTGGCATGATAGCTTTGGGCAAACAAATTTTAAATATTTATGTGTGTTATTTCCTACTTTGAGCAATACTTGTGTTGGTGGTAAACTTGACTGTGTTATATGTTTCCTATCGAAACATGTTCGGACCAATTATATTCCTCGTATGCACCAGTCACCCAAACCATTTAACTTAATACACTCTAATATTTGGAGACCCTCTCTTGTTACTGCTCTATCAGGTGTTCGATACTATGTGATATTTATAGATAATCATACCTGTTATACTTGGGTCTATCTTTTGCATAGGAAGTCTGATGTACTCCCTGTCATCACTCAGTTTCTCCAAATGATTAAGACACAATTCAATGTCATTGTTCGTACTCTTCATTCAAANCTCAGTTTCTCCAAATGATTAAGACACAATTCAATGTCATTGTTCGTACTCTTCGTTCAGATAATGTCAAAGAATATGTGTCTGATGCCTTAGTGTCTCACCTTTCTTCCTAGGATATCCTTCAGCAGCTCACTTTTCCATATACTCCTAAGCAAAATGAAGTTGCTGAAAGAAAAAATAGGAGTATGATAGAGATGGTACGTTGTATATTTAGAAATTTTACTATTTTGACTTCTACTTTTTTGTGTAATCGTACACCAAGTCGTATTCTTTAGCATAGGGCTCCCTTACAGGTCTTATTCCCTAAGCGAACACTTTTTTAGGTCTCCCCTCATGTTTTTGGCTGCACATATTTTGTTTAGGATCAGTCTCCTACTCGCTATAAGCTTGATGATAAAGTGATTTGTTGTATCTTTGTGAGCTATTGTCATTAGTCTAAGGGGTATCGGTGTTATGATCCTGTTAGGTGACGTATGTATCACAGTCTAGATGTTACCTTTCTTGAACATATTCTATATTTTTCTTCTAGTCCTGTGTCTGCCCCTCTAGTTGATGATACTCCCTTTGATTTTTCGTTACCACAAGAGTCAGATTCATTGGTCACAATCATTACAGAGTCATTAGTCTCTCCTCTTCCAAAGCCACTCATTCCTGTCGGTACTAAGTCACCAGTTTTCCTTTCTTTGCAGGTTTATGTACATCACCCTCGCTCTCATCCACCTGTTGATGTCCCTTCTACCTCAGGCGATGCAGGCAATACCTCTCAATTTTTTGAGCATATTGATGCACCTATTGTTAGTATTGATGAGATTGCAGGTACTGAGCTAGTTATTTTACCTGATGAGACATTATCAGTGGAGGATGATGATTTAGGGCATTGTTATCCGCGGTGTGATCGTCTTTCAGTTGTTCGTTATGGTTAGACCGTCGGAACTTTATATTCGATCTCTGCTTATGTTTCTTGTGATGATCTATCACCTATATTTTGCGCTTATTGTATGGTCTTATCCGATACGCTGGTTCCTTGCTTTATTTCAAAGGCTATGCAGGAGTCCTAGTGGGTTCTTGTCATGCAGACGAAGATGGACGCTCTTCAACGTAATCATACGTAGGATCTTGTCTCTTTACTTTCAGAGGTGAAGCCTGTTGGCTGACACTGGGTTTACACCCTAAATTTTCTTGCGGATGGTACTGTTGATCATCACAAGGCTAGGCTTAGGGTGAAGGGTTTTACTCAGGTATCAAGTCGTGATTTTGGTGCTACATTTGTCCCCGTGGTAAAATTGACTACTGTTCGATTGATTATTTCTCTGGCTACGGAGTACTCTTGGCCACTTCATCAGTTGGATGTGAAGAATGCATTTCTTTATAGTGATCTAGACGAGATTATTTGTATGAATGCACCACCGGACTTTTGTGATGAGGGAGAGTATGATGGAAAGGTATGTCGACTGCGTAAGTCTCCCTATGGACTAAAACAATCACCACGAGCCTGGTTCTCTCACTTTAGTAGTGTAGTTGTACGTTTAAGGTTCACCAAATGTCATTCTGATCATACCTACTTCATTCAATGGAATACTTCTGGACAGTGTGTCATCCTTTTGGTATATGTTGATAATATTATTGTTACTAGAGATGATGTTTTTGGAAATGCGCAGGTCATGGTAGACCTTGGGAAGGCCTTCGATGTGAAGGATCTTGAATTTCTGCGATACTTTCTGGGGATTAAGGTTGCCCGTAGCAACAGGGGTATTGTTATTTCTCATAGAAAGTATGTTTTGGATCTTCTCTCAAACACTAAGATGCAAACCAGCATCATCACTCATGATTCCAAACCTGAAGTTTATTGTTGAAGGTGAGGAGTTGAGAGATCTGACTATCTATCAGAGATTGGTAAGTTGACTTATCTACCTAGCCAATACTAGGCCAGATATTTCATTCACTATCAGCCAAGTTAGTCAGTTCATGCACAAGTCGTGTCAGCCTCATCTTGATGTAGTTTATCATATTCTTCGGTACCTCAAGTCTTGTCCTAGACTTGGATTGTTTTATGCATCAGGATCTCAGATTAGTTTTTTAGCCTGTTATTCAAATTTAGATTACGGGGGAGTATGTGACTGTCAATCTATTACGGGCTTCTATGCTTTTCAAGGGATTCCTCTTATCTCTTGGAAGAGCAAAATACAGGCAATTGTCTCTCATTCGTCAGCAGAGGCAGAGTATCGAGCACTGACACTTGGCACATGTGAGATTATTTGGCTACGATCGATTCTTGGCGAGTTGGGATTTTCAGTGACTTCTTTATTTACATTATATTGTGATAATCGATCTACTATTCAACTCGCTTCTGACTCTATATTACAGAACGAAGCATATAGAGATCGATGTTCACATTCTTCGGGAGAAGGTTCGTTGTGGTTTTGTCACTCCATTGTTTGTGGGGACTAGTGATCAGACTGCGGATGTTTTCACCAAACATGTCACTCTATCCATTCTCCGGGACTCAATTGCAAGCTTGACTTAGTTGATATTTTTGCGCCTAAATTGAGGGAGAGTGTCAGAGTATAATCTAATTTTTTAGGATTTCTTTTCCCTTACTATGACTTTTATATTTTGCTAAGATCACAAGGATATTTAGGTCACTTTGTATTTATTATTTGATTATATATACGGAGTTTTACTCTTAATTTGAGTATCCCTTTCACTCACATATATCTCTCTTGTTGAAAACTGTCAGCCATTTCCAGCTATTTTACTAAAACTTCAAGCTTTTCTGAAGGCCCATTGCATTGACCCACTGAAAGATGATCTCAGCTATTTACAGGCAGATATGTTTTTTATTTTTTTTATTTTTTTTTTTTTTTTTTGTGTCTCATATTCTTCCTGTTAGGCTAAAGAACAGCTGGTTCCCTCCTGTAAAGTAGAGGCAGGTGCTCTGTCCATGACATGCTTAATGAATGTTTTTCCCACATTGAGCTGATGTTTTGAGTATTGTTCGTGTGAATTTCAATATCTCGGCTTCCTCTATTCTGGTAATTAACTCAGCAAATTAATGAAAGCTCTGCTTGCATACTGTTTACTCTTTATCATTTATTTTGATAAAGGAGAAGAGTTTCATTAAGTATCTCACACAAAAATATATATTCTCTTTTGTTGAAGGGAATGTGATGTGATAGTTATTAACAGTAACATGATAAGTAGAAAAAAAAAAATTTAAAAAGTTATACTATAAATGACAATATGATAACTTATAGTTTAATGGAAGGCGTGACTCTAGATAGAGAATAATGATGGAACAACAGTCTCCATGGTATCAAATTGTTCATTGGTATGGCCAATACCCAAAAAGATAGAACTGAAGATCACCATCTGCAAGGAAGACTACCCCTAAAGTGGGAAGTTTCTTTTCCTCTCTGTTTGCCAAGTTAATCAAATTCCTCCATGATACATTCAATCAAACAAATTTCTTTCAATACAATTGAGGATAGGGCTGGAGGAACAATCGCGTTTTACAGTAATAACATAGTTTTTCATAAAGAAAAAGAACATGTTCAAGTGCTAATAGGTGTCAGTTTAGGCACATGAACAGGAAATTCATCAATTTCATCCATCCATGGATTCTTCTCCTTAGCCGGATTAATGGTCCTCAACGCGCGCCAAACAGCACTATTACATTTGAAACCAGACCCAAACGCAATCTGCCATGTGCGGTCACCCTTCTTCATCCTACCCTTAGCCTCGGAATAGGCCAGTTCATACCACAATGAACTACTAGAAGTATTGCCAAACCTATTCAGAGTCATTCTAGAAGGTTCCATTTGCCAATCGCTTAGTTCAAGGTTCTTCTCCAACTCATCCAACACTGCTCTTCCTCCGGCATGAATGCAGAAATGCTCGAAAGCCAACTTGAAATCTGGAATATATGGTTTGATCTTCATTTTAAATATCTTTCTTGCCACTAAAGTAGCAAAAAATAGGATCTGCTCGGACATAGGAAGAACCAATGGCCCGAGTGTTGTGATATTTGTTTTCAAGGCCTCTCCTGCGACAGCCATCAGGTCTTTTGAAAGTGCGACACCAATTCTCTTGGTTTCATCCTCTTCTTGGAACACACAACTGTAACACTTGTCGTCTGCACCCTTGTGCGTACGTACAGTGTGGATGAGTTGATACTTGGAATGACGACGATCAGATGATCGGTTAGACAGAAGGATTGCAGCCCCACCCATGCGGAAGAGACAGTTTGAGACGAGCATCGACCGGTTGTTGCCAAAGTACCAATTCAGGGTTATATTTTCCATACTTACCACAAGAGCATAAGAGTTGGGGTGCACCTGTTTACAAAGATAAATCGATGATTAACCAACAAAAATATTATTACTGTACAAGCAACAAAATAAAGATGCAAAATTTTGATGTTGGGAACTTCAATTAGGCTCAGTTTATTCATGTTGTAGACAGTAGACTAGTTAGACATTGGAAAATCAACCATTACATTTAATTGTTATTCAGGTATGAACAATGGAAAGTGCAGAATGCTATGCCCTAATTATGGGGCCCTGTTTTACACAGCACTCCTTTTCCTATAATTGATGAACTGCCTCCAAATAAGCTGTAAGTGAAAAAGAAACCTTACAATGGTTCCCCATACCTGCAAACTTTCCAATTGTAGAATGATACTACCTACTTTTGAGATGTAAAACTGTCATTTAAGCCATTTTTTTTTGGCATAAGGGATGTTCGGGTCAACTTACGACTAATTCTTTCTCTATTCTGGTTAAAGAAAGGTCATCTATGTGAAAACTAGTGTATTCATGAAAAATAAATCTCTTATGACTTGATTTCAAGGAATTGTCAAGATTCGAATTCAAAACATCTGAGTTTTCAGCACAATTCGTCATTATTACCATTTGAGTTACCTTAGGGTTCCATTTAAGCTACCTTTGAAGAATAAACTATCATCTCTTTTATTTGAGAAGAGATATTAGTCTTGACTTAATTTGTTTATCTACTCAATCATTGTCTCCAACATTGAGTGGGTCTTCCTAACAATCTAATAGGATGAAGCTCTAAATTAAGTCAACAAATTCAAATATTATTATTTATATTTGAGTCACTAATAGCTCAGCTGCAGACATAAATTTGTCAGACACTAAGACAATGGTGACACAACGGTCAGAGAGAAATAAGTGTAGAAAGTCACCAACCTGCAAAAGTTGCTTGGCTAGATCTATTGATATTAATCCTGCACTGCAACCCATACCACCAAGATTGAAGCTCAAGATGTTCCCTCTAAGCTTGTAATGGTTCACAACCATGGCAGAAAGAGATGGTGTTGGATTGAACAAGCTGCAATTCACAATAAGAATCCCAATGTCCTTAGCCTTGACACCGGTTTTCGCCAAGAGCTGGTCGATAGCTCCAAACATCACCATCTCCGCCTCCTTCCTCGCCTCCGCCATACACACGTTCGGGGGTACCTGCAAAATAGCTTCTGGGAAATATGTCTTCTGTCCCAACCCTGATCTCTCCAAGATTCTCTTCTGAAATGCCAAATTTTCTTCACTGAATGTCCCTGCTTGTTTAGATCTCTCCATAAAAAGTTCTCTAGTGCACATTCTCTCTGGTTCAGGCTTGAAACATGAGAAATTCACTAGATAAACCTTTCTAGGACGGCTCATAAAGTAAAGGGTAGCTAGGAAAACCATTAGAGAAGAGCATAGAATCACTGTGACAAAATTGAATTTGAGCTGGTTCCACAGTTGGATTAAATCTTCGAACGTAAAAGTTGACAGATGAACAGAAACAGCACCAAGAAGGGGGACTAACAATAAATACATGGCATGCGTAACTAAGTAATGATAGCCAAGCTTCACATATTTGAGTCTAACAGAGAGGAGAAAGTTAGGGAGGTTGTTCTTCCCTCTTTCAGATTGAGCTTCAACCGATACCGATCCGGTTTCGGAGTTCTCTTTTTCCTTATCCGCCATTGTTAATCAACAAACTAGAAAAAAAAAACCCCACTAATCCAAACACCTCAATAGCCTAAAATTTCAGCTTCTTCGACTTAATACGAAATTTTGAGAAATAAATAATGATAACCCAGAAGGCAAACCAAACAAAAAGTATGAAAACAAATGGGATAGAGCTTCAATGGAAGGCTTACTCAGTTGGGGTTTGAGATTTTGGACTGAAAAATATTGATGTTCTTGTGCAAAGAAGAGTTTTGGACAGAGTGGTAAGAATCTACAGAAATTTCCCTATTGAGGGGGGAGAGAGAATGGGGAATGATGCCTGTGAAGATGGAAGGTTAATAGAATTTAAAGACGTATGAGGAGAGAGAGAGAGAGATTATGAGGAGAGAGAAACAGGTATGAGGGAGGGAGGGAGGGAGGAGAAGGGTTCAACTACCCCAACGAACTTTTAATGTAAGCGCGCCGTGGCATTGAATTGGCCGGTTGGGAAAATAGTAAGGTTTCGTGCAGAAAATAATTTTTAAAAAAATGGGTATGGAATTGACCTACTTTAATCCAACTAATTTCTGCTTTGCCACTCTTGAAGCTAATGACAGTTGGCCTGCTTTGTCTCCAAACCTTAAATAAAATATTTGGATTGACTATGGTCGTTCAAATATTAAAAGTTTTTATTAAACTAATAATTTCAATGAAATTATATTATTAAATTAGTTAATTAATTTAATTTTTTAAGTCTAAATAATATTAATATTACCATAATAATTGTTGGACATAAGTATAATATTTTTGGGTAGAAAAAAAAAACAAGTCACAATAGTTTGTTGGTTATGCGAGGCAATGCTATGGTAAGCTACCATGGTCTAGTGTGTAAAAGCCCAGATTTCTTCCTTAGTACTTGAATTCGAGTCATCACAATCACAGTTATGACAGCTAGGTTAGACTAAATTTACCTTTCTACTTCCAAAACATGCATCGAGACAACTTCGATCTCGACATAAATATAACGAAATTTCTTACAGAAAATTGTACANTTATGACAGCTAGGTTAGACTAAATTTACCTTTCTACTTCCAAAACATGCATCGAGACAACTTCGGTCTCGACGTAAATACAATGAAATTTCTTACAAAAAATTGTAGTGTTAAATGACAATATTTCTTAGCGGTTATATAAACTGATCCATCTAAATATCTATATTTCATACCAAGAAAAAGGGAGGGAGGGGGGACAAGACAAAATTTGGGGTGAAAGGAAATAAAAGAAAATTTGTGAAAACCTCTATAATTTTATGGAATCTCCTTTTATCTTCATACATAATGGTTGAACTATACGACGAAGATAATTTTATTCATTGAAACCCATAAATTGTAATTTTGAAATTGATTATATGATACTAGTATATAGAAATTGTACCAAATATGGTAGTCGACAAATTTAATAACTACGTCAAAATTTTAAAATAGATATGGAGTTAGTATCTTAAAACCTTGAGCTACACTCATGTAAGATTTAGTCATTTTTTTTTTGGTACTTGAGAATACCTTTTTTTTGTTTTTTATAAGTGTTTAGACTTGCGTTGACAACTCTTTCAAACTCAATAACTAATTATTATAACCCTTAAAAATCAATTATGATTATTAAACTTGGTCTTATTTTGTCTCGGAAAAATAGAGTAAATTTTGTCATGTTCGAAAAAAGTAAGGCAACTAACTAAGCGTTTGTCTATTGTAATAAAACGCCGTGCTGCCAATTTGGAAAAAGTTGGTGAGATATGCCACATATTAGTTGATCCATTTCAACAGCACTTCGCAGCTTTGGTTTTGTTTTCTATGGTCCAAATGGGAAAGACTACGGTACAGTGATAGGTGTTGGACTAAAACAGTTTTTAACAAATAAAAACTGATTATTGGTTATTTTAAGTTTAAAGTAAAGTGGGATTTGCTTATCGTTTTGAGTAAATTTTTATAAATTTGAGTTCTACTCCGTGTGGAGAATAACCTATTATATTCATTTGCTCAAATCGAATAAAAATTAAATGAGAATATAAGCTCAACAATAATCCTTTTATAAGAGATTAGACAATGCAAGATATGACACTAATTTTACATTAGTTGGACAAAAAACTACACATGTGCATATATACCCCAAATTTGCACTATGAGTTGTCCCCCAATAGTACCACACTTTTGTAAGTTCAGTTTGACCACGTGCGTCGCCGGGGATGGAACCAAAAATGTATTTTTGGGTGTGTACACTTGACTAGTAAAATTTAATTTTTTTCTCCAATTAATAAAAGTATTGTGGTACATGTTTCTTTTTTTTTTTTTTTTAAATAGTGTTGCATATTTAAAGATTCATTAAATACAAAAGGATCAAACACCAATATACGTAGTCTGTACAAATAATACTCAATAAAAAGAGGCTAATTACAACTTTTTACAAAAAATTAGGCTAATTACAGCCATGTACAATAGACCCTAACAACTGATAACGTTATTAATAATATTATTAAAAATGTCTTTTTTTATATAAGTAATTAAGTTAATAGTAATCAATTTCAGGCTAAGTTTGTATCAATTTTAAAAAATTATAACAATTTCAAACAATTATGAATAATATAAGATTAAGGGTTATCAAAAAATAAATAAATAAGTTCAATCACTAGTCGCAACTTTTCAATATTCTTTATTTTTGGTCAGGAGGGTGGGCCCAATTCTAACTACCCAATAAAAAATCATAAATATAAAAAGATAAAAATTTAATTTTTTTTTCAAGGTGGGCATGTGGCCCCCTGGTCCCTATGTCTCTCCACCATTGTGCATCGCCCATCATGACTTTACTCGTATATGGATGTGGTTTAGATCTAACCTAATCTTTTTGAAAAAAAATCATTTAACTGGGTCCGAATTTTATTTTTATCCATTGAATTTCAAATTCGCACTGGTTTGAATTTTATTTCTGCATGTTAGATTTCAAATTCGCACTAATTCAAATTTAATTTTTCCTCTAGTTCTGAAATTTGAATTCGTATCCGTTCATCCTTGGACATACATCAATAGTATCTTCTAGCTTCATTGTGTCTTTTGAGTTGTGTTTTTTTGCATGGTGGCTACTAGAATCGGTCACTATTTTATCTATAAATAACACAATTACATTAACATTTTGTATGAACTTCAGACTAGTTACATTACAAATTAAAGTAATCGTTACATTCATTCTTTCGATATTAAACAGTCTGCATTTCATATCTGTAGTGATAAGCATATTTTGGTAAGATGCTTGCATAACTTTTTTGCGAAGTGGGTTAAGAAAAATATATTAGATGATATTTATATCGCCTTATGCCTTAATAGTTTAGGAAAATTTTAGCCACACCCTTCTAGTTTAACATATCTTTAAAGACTCTTTCTATTTTATACAACATTACTAACACTCTTTCTATTTTATATTTAAACATCACTAACACCTCCTATTATTAAACCACTGTTTCTAACAAAAAAAAGTTATCTAAATTACTAAAATTATCCTTATATAAATCTCAAATGATCTTTCTACATATTAAATTTAAGTTAGTTAAAATTCGATTCGGGCTTCTTAAATTTTAATTTTTTACGTATTAAAATTTGAGTCTATTAAAAAAAAATTGTAGGTATTAAATTAAGAGCCAATCTGAGCTCTACCTGAGTTGTTAGCGCCGATTAAATTCGCTTCAATTTGATTAAAATTTATATTTTTTACTTATTAAAATTCATGTCAATTAAAATTCAATTCAAGTTGATTAAAATTTGATTCAAGCTGATTAAAAATGAATTTTAATCGACTCAAATTTTAATAAGTAAAAATATATAATTCCTAATCAACTCGATTTTTAATACGTAAAAAATAAATTTTAATTAGTTCAAATCGAATTTTAATCGGCCCGAATTTTTAAAAAAAATTAATAAATAAAAGGGATCTCATTGAATATATGTTTATCTAGCGAAGGTGTGGATGAAATTTTTTCTAAAATATAGTATTGACAATTTAATAAAATTATATTATAATTAACAATTTTAATCTGACAGAGTGTTAGTAAAGATTCAAAAAATAAAGAAAATATCGTTAAATATATGATAAATTAAAAGATGTGTGGTTAAAATTTTTCTAATAGTTTCTAATGCACACGACCATATGTATTTGTTTATTAATGAGCTTGAGGGTTGTTATTTGGCTGATCTTCCAATCTTCTGCTTATTGGACATTTACGTTCCTGTAATTATTGAACAAACAGTTTTCTAGGAAACCCAACTGTTGGACCTCCCAATACCAACTACAACATTAATTTTGTAATAATGTTTTTTTGGAACTAGTTGGATAAAATATATTTTTACTCTGTAAAATATGTGTTTAGTTTCTATTGGTTCACAATTTTTTAATTGTGTCTGTTTAGTCCATAAAATTTTTAATTTGTATTTATGTTATCCAATCTTAAATGCCTGTTAGAAAATTGTGACGGTTTTGATCACACGCCAATCACATAGTTCCTAATTTTGTGTCTATTTGGTCCTTAAAAATTCTTAATTTGTATCTATTTGGTTTCACAAAATTGTTGCTTAACTAGAGGCATTGACGATTTTTTAAATAATTATTCTCTTCGTTCTTTAATATCTGTCGTTTTACATAATTTTTTTTGTTCCATAATATCTGTCGTTTAATGAAACTAAAACATAATTAATATTTTTTTTTTCAAATTTACATTTAACTTTTCAATGCATTAAATTAGGTGGAGGTTAAGTAACTTTCACATTCCTTTCTTTCTCAATACGTATTTAATAAGGGTATTTTAATCTTGTATAATTATTTTTTACTCATATTAGAGCTATTTAATAGTTTCCTTAATTGTTGTACAATAACCTTAAACTATAGATATTTAAGAACAGAGAGAATAAAAAATTAATCTTAAACATCTACTTGTGTTTATATTACAATCATTGAATTAGTTATGCGTCCCAACAAATATGAAAGCATATTGTCAATCTAATAATTATAAATAATTAGGTCAATAAATTAAATCAAAATGACATTTTTCTTAATTTTGTGTACTTTTCAAAAAGACCAAAACAAATTTCTAAGTCTCCCTCCCCTATCTTCTTCAAAAACACAATCAATAACCAAAACGTTTACGGAGTAGTTAATAGTTTTGAAAAAAAATTTAATACCGTACCACAATTTATAATTTTTATAAATATTTTTATCATTTTTATATGTGTTTTTTTTTANGGGCTTGATGAGCTCGGAGTACTTCTTTGGATTACACTTCTCCAACTTTCGCTTTACCCTCTCATCCTCAACATTGAGCTCTGGTCGAATGCCTGAAAAACAACACAAGGAGAGCAAAGGTCAAGAAGGCGACTCAACAATT